AAAAATCAAATTATAACTTTTATTTTCAATTTTGATAATAAAAATTAATAATATGGCTTAACTATAAATAGTAGGAAAACTGCTTATTGAGGCCAAGTATATTCCGGATTTATAGGAAGCCGTAAATCAAACTTTGATTTGTCTTGAGCTCAGCAGGCGTATCACATTTTCATGTTGTACAGTTCGCTTTCATTTGTCAAATTTTTGTTCATATTTCATTACATTTAAGAACATCTATTCCCTAAAAACGAATTTTTCCAAAATTACAAAAATGATTTTAAATTATTTATAGGTAAAACTTAGCTTAAGTCTCAGCTTCGGCTTAGCCAAGCTCCTCTGTGATGTAACAAGTTTTTCATTTGTTTCTCTTTCCGCTTTCCTTGCAGGCCGTTTAAGGTAATTGACTAAGTGGAGGACAATAAGGACTTGAGGTATTTCATACATGTTTGGCTGCACAGATGAGTGCCAGGAAAAAGAGGCTCCACTGCAGTTGAGGCGGAGTAAGCGAAGCTCAAGCTGTGCTTGTTGACCAAGGGCCTAGCTATCAGCTAGCACAAAGAGAGGCAGAGAGGATAAGAGAGAGACAGAGACCGAGAGAGAGAGAGATAAAGCTGAAAAAGYGGCACACAATGCGAAACAAAAGGCAAATGTGGCAAAAACTCTGAAGAGGACTCGTGCATATTGAATTACGCGACAAGTGCAAGCAAGTTTGAGGCATTTTAAACTGTTTATGCTTCAGTGGGTGAGCGGGTGAGCGGGTGAGTGGCTGAGCGGGTGAGTGGGTGAGTGGCTTCAGCTTGAGTGGCAAGCGGGCTGTTGCATGCCTGTCTGTCCGACTGTCCGTCTCGCCATTAGTGTGAGTGCGCAGTGAATGCGACTAAGTGAGTGTATGAACGCCATTATTTTGTTATAACAATGGTAAAGTTTTTGAGCAGAGTTGCCTACGAGCTGCGAGCTGCGAGCTGCGAGCGCTGAGAGCTAAAAGCCGAAAGCTGCGGAGAGCCGCCCGGCAGCTCCACCTAAGCGAACATCGCCCTATAACTGCAGCAAACACTTAACACAATCAATACACACTTATTCACACTCCCACACACACACACACACACACACATACACGCACACACACACAGGCGCGTATGCTGTGTGAAAATGAGTAAAGGAAAATGAGTTAATGGAAATTCTTAGCAACTATTGTGATTTGACAGCAGCGTGTAAACTTGAGCACAAAAGACGCCGCCAATGCTGCCACAGCCGACGCAGCAGCCCCTCCTCCTCCGCCACCTCCTCCCCCTGCCCACATTGGCGACCCGACACTCGGCGAATGCTGTTAAAGTGTTGGAGCAACTGCACAAAGGCGACCAAAAACTGACAATTTAAAGAAAATTGCAAAGGAAACTCCCTAAAAGCAAGCCAGCGGCCATATGGGCGGGGCGGGACGCAGCGAGGGCATGCCCTCAACTTAGGACACTCTATACATACGTATATATACATATACATATATATATATATGTATTTGCTTTTGTGTGCCGTTTGAAAGAGCGGCTAAAAAAGACATACAAAAACAACAACAACAGCAACAGCGGCAAAAGAAGGAAGAAAAGAAAATCCAACTTCGACTTAGCTTCAAAAATAATGAGTGGCAAAGGAAGTGCTAAGATGAGTAGTTCGAGAGCTAAAAAGAAATACGCACAGAGACGGCACACACACACACACACACACACACATGTATACATACACAGCATATGTGTTGTGTTGGCTTCAGTGAGAACGCTTGAAATGCTGCGATAACTCCCAATACACAAACGCATCATTATCCACAGAGAGCGAGAGAGGGAGAGAGAGACAGCGAGAGGCAGAGCTTATCGAAATCGGAGGCTTCACTGTACGGCGCTCAGCTTGGCTCAGCTATTTTCGTTGCGCCTCTCAGCCCAACAGATGGCGCCACCTTTTGCTGCCGGCCAACATTATTCAACATCAAAGTGGAAGCAGAAGCAAAAGAAAACCCGAACCGCAGCGCAGCGCAGCGCTTGACACTTGCTGCTTTCATGCTTGCCACAAAATGTTGCGATTATGCAACGCACATGCATATACCCTGTAGCAGCTGAGCTCTTCATGTGCAATGGACTAAGTTTTGTTGCTACCCTCAAAGGCTGTTCGCATTGGAGTCGAAGGCGAATTCTTTTAAATTAAGCTAATGATACTTAAATGGTGTTTGACCGTTGTTGACATTATATTTGGAGTTTCTGGAAAACTTTGCTATAAGACTGTGAGGTCTTCTCTTCTTTCAGGCTGAGTTTTCCATAAGTCAATTAATCAATTAAACAGGCTGATAGACAGGCAGCTTAACAGATAGTCAACTGTTGGTTAACATACAGTTAGCTGCCTGTTAATGGTCACTTAGCACCTTATTTTTCAAAATTAGCTAACATTCATTAAAAATTCTGGTAGTAGTCAGTCAACAGTTAGCTAAGGGTCAGTCAACAGTCAGTTAACAGTCAGCTAACAGTCCGTCAAGTCCGTTAATAGCCAGTCAGTACATGTATACAATAGTTAGTCAACAGCCAATGAGCAGTCAGTTAACAATCAGTTAATAGTTAGTTAACAGTCAGTCAACAGTCAGATAACTGTCAGTTAACAGTTTGCTAACAGCCAGTCAAAAGTCAGATAACATTTAGTTAACAGTTAATTAACAGTTTGCTAACAGCCAGTCAAAAATCAGATAACATTTAGTTAACAGTTTGCTAACAGCCAGTCAAAAGTCAGATAACATTTAGTTAACAGTTAATTAACACTTTGCTAACAGCCAGTCAAAAMTCAGATAACATTTAGTTAACAGTCGATTAATAGTCAATTATGAGTGAATTATCAATTAATTATCAGACAAATATCAAGCAGTTAATAGCCACTTAACATCCAGGCTATAGTCATAACAGTTACATAACAGCTAATCAACAGTCATTCAAGAGCATTTTAATATCCTATGCCACAAAATAATGGACTTTCTTTCTCAACTCTCTTTCTCTACGCTCAAAATACCTCAGCTTAAGATACCACAAGTATATTATATAGTATATCATATTATATAGTATAGTATATCATATAGCATATTCAAGTCTGTTTCCACGCTCTCCTTTACCAACTACAGCCTGTGATTGCTGAACACTCCCGTTTTCTGCTGGGCAGCTTTTGCTGCCGGTTGCACTTCAACTGGCGCTCAGTGCCTCCGTAAATACTTATTAGATACGGCCACGCCCATTGCTACATCATATTCGTAACGGTCTCCGAGGGTTTTGTGGAGGGCCTTTTGATTAATGATCGATGCCGTCGCTGGCGGTGCCATAAAGACGCCATGCCGAAACTATGCAGCAGCGTGTGGCTAGTTTGCCAACTCCGTTCGTCGGGCATGTCCGCCCGTGGCATTGCCGCTGGCATTGCAATTTGCCTGAACATCTCATCGCCCCACTCAATTAAGCGGGCGCGAAATAAATTTATCTAAATTATCGGCGTTATCTGCGGCGCGTTATTAAAATCTAACGCAGACAACATCTGCTCCAGCTCACGCCCAGCCCCCCAGCCCCCCAGCCACCATTGGGAGCTCTCGCACTTGCCCTCATTCACTGTCTCGCTCGCTCACCTACTCGTTGTCGCTCGCTCGCTCTCTCTCTCCAGTTATCGCACTTGTTCATTTCATTTTTGGTCTTCTTCTCAGGCTCGTTCTTGTCAACACCATCTTGGCATTGTGGGCTTTTGCTTTTTAACGAGAAATTATGGTGGCATTGTTATTGTTATTGGTGTTGTTCTTGTCGCTGCCACGATGCCATCAAAAGGCCAGTGGAGCTGGAAAGGGGGGTTGGGGAGTGTGGGAGGGGATCCATGCCTGGGCCAAAGGCTGGGCGAAATGCGCGTCTTTTATGACTTCCGTTTGGCTAAAATGCCGCAATGGGGCAGAGCCGGGGGCCGGTGCCGCAGCCGGAGCCGGAGCCGGAGCCGGTGTCGGGGCCAAGCGAAGTCCCAGCGGCGACTGCAGCTCAACATTTTGACTCCATGCTCGAGTGCGTCGCCTGCGCCATTGTTCCGCCAGTCAGCGGCGACCCACCGCAGACGTTGCTGCGCTTGGGTTTGTTTGCCAGAATAAAACTAACAAACAAAATCGTAATGAAAAGCACAATAAACTGTCAGTTTAAATATGAGCGACGCTCGCCGCTCTGTCTGCCTGCACTCGTTCGCAATCTCAGTCTTGGTCTCAGTCTTGGTCCCAGAGCGCCGTGCGACAGCTCTCACACCCACGCCCACGCCCATGCCCACTACAGCGCCACTTCATTGTCGTGCCATGGACATCCTTAAACAGCAGCCTCAAGTGGCTTGTGCATTGCAGCAGCAGCAGCAGCAGCAACAGCAGCTGCGGCCCACGCTGCGTATGGTGCACCGTCTCTTTGCCTCTGCAGTACATCACAGTGCATCTCCCTCCTCTCCGCTCTCTGTGGCAGCTTGTGCGCTACTTAGCCGCGCCAGTCCCAGCGGCTGTCGAGAGTGCATCCACTGCACAGCTGGCGCACAGCACGGATCGGTTTTGCTCTAAAAGAATTCCGCTCGCTGCACTGCAAAATGCATTCGCAATTAAGTCACAAAATGTTCCTCCAAATGCATCGAATAATTGAATTAGGTTTATTGACTGGAACCAACTGGCTTAACTGGCTGAAAACTTCCATTGTTTCGCACTAGTCGAACTGCTTGAGCTTCGCAAATGAGCTGAAATTTATGCACGAAGCGTGAACGAATGCAAATTGAACTTTTAAAGCGCTGACAGCTTTAAGGCCGTTTGACTTCAGTGTGCTTTCGGAGTTCTCTATTTTGAAAAATATTCATGGACTTCTTAAAGATTTCACTATTTCATTATTTCAAGATTTTGTAGCTTTTATTTTAGTCAAAGCTTTCCATTAGCTTCTTCAATTTGCATGCGATGAAAGTTGCTTAACGCTTCAATGCGCCTTTAAAGCTTCTTTAGTTTCTTGCTTCACTTAAAGATTGAAAGCTTTTTGGATTTTAAAATTTTTCACTTTCAACAACTTTCCATTGGTTCCTTGTGCCTTACCCGCCTACTTTAAACTGGTGTCTCTCTTCTAGGCTGTAAAGTGCATTGAAAGCTCTTTCATTTYATAATTCAAGTCGAAAGCTTTCAGTTATTTCTCTTATCTGCGATATATGCTCTGCTCTTTTTTTAATAGCTAGCTTAATTAATTGGCCACTTAAAGCTTTTGCACATTTTGCCATCTCTTAAGCATTTGCATATGCTCTACGCCTCCTGCTACTCGAAACTTGTTTTTGATTGCGCATTTTGGCAACTCATAAGTTTTGCTGCATCTCGCTTATTAAGTCTGTGGAGGCTTCAATGTGCTTTGAAAGCTCTTTAGCTGTGCCATTGCATTTAATATCACTTAAAGCTCTCAGATGCTTCTTTATGTGCCCTGATAGTCATTTTAATTAGTTTGTTCATTGCGTAAATTTCATGGCACTTCAAGCATTGCCACATGCATTCCATGTGCTTTCGGCTCCTGCTGCTACTTGAAACTTGTTTTTAATTGCGCATTTTGACAATTCATAAGTTTTGTGTCTCCCTTATTGAGTGCATTAACATAAATAGCGGCGCGCTAAGTTGGCATAAAACTTTGCCCATTGGCAACTTTTTGCGCTGACCGCCAGGCGAACTGCACTGCCTGCGTCCGGATCATAGTTGGCCATAAAAATAAGTTAAAATGCCATATAATAACAATAAGAGAAATAATAATAGTAATGATAATAATACCAACAAGGACGCCCGCTGCGGTTATGGGCTCTGTCAGCGCCAAATGCTGCGAAGTAATTAAATAGCTGCAGCAGGAGCAGCAGCAGCAGGAGCAGCCGCAGCAGCAGCAGGAGCAACTGCTGTGGAGGATGAGCAGAGAGAAAACTAGACATGAAAATTAAAAGTAATGAAAGAAAACTTCATTTCAAGGTTTTTCTATGTGTGTGTGTGTGTGTGTGTGTGTGTGTGTGTGTAGCGTGTATTTAGCTCAAGTTTTGTACAACTTTTTATTTAAACAACGAACGGAATTTACACAGCTTAAGTTAATTGTATTTCTGTGTGGAATCAACTTGATTACATTTCGAATTTTGCCCAGCTGGAGTAAATCCCAGAATCAATGTAACGACTTGTTGTATTTGTCTCAGTGCTACCTTGGATACTTGGAAATATCAAAAAACATTACGCGCAAACAGAAGAGACAAGCCTTCAGCAACATATCACAACAAACTCCAAACTTTCTACCCACCCTTAGATACTTGCAGGAAGACTTTGTGTCGCAGAAGACGTTTAATTGAACACCTTAAACTTGAACACGTGCAATAACCATGGGTACAACATAAGCAATCTTATATGATTCCCTCAATACTCTACTGTGACATAAATGATTAACAATTAGTTAGAAAAGCATGCCTAATCAAGCAAACTAACTTTAAGAAATATTAACTATGATAACTATTCGATTACAATATATATAAACATATTCCTCTCTGCTACTCTCTCTCTCTGTCTCTCACTCTCTCTTTCTCTCCCTCTCTCTCTCTCTCACTCTCTCACTCTCTCTCTCTCTCTCTCTCTCTCTCTCTCTCTCTCTTTTCTGATCAACCATCTGCTTTGCTTGCAACTGTGAGAGTTTATATCACAAGGAGGAGGAATGAATGCATGATATTCCTTGTCTGCTCTTTTTAGATCCATGATCATTTTTTCCAAACACAAGTCAAGACCATATGATATGTCTCAATGTGAGAAGCCAAGAGCTCTCACTTTCATCTGTTATTCGACATGCGTGACATATAATG